ATGTAACTATTTTAAATTATTAATAAAGATATAAGCAAGGCCTCACCTTAATACCAAAAAAAAAAAAAAAAAATTTGATAAAGTTTTGATTAAGTTATCTTTGTCTAAAGCTTTAAAAAAATTTACTTGGAAAAATTTGCTTAATTTCTATTAACTCAATTCTATATCTATATAATTATAAAAATAATTTTAAAAATTTTAATAAAACACTAGTATAACTATTTAAAAAAAAAAGATATAATAAATATTATAATAAAATGAAACTTTATATAAATATAAATATTTAAAAAATAAAAATTAATACTAACCAATATAATACAAATAAATAATCTTAAAAAATATATATATATATTGTTAAATATTATATATAACTCTATTTAAGAATCTAATATTAATATATAATAAAATTCTAACTTATAAAAATAGTAACCTAGTGAAATAGACAAATTGTTAACTTTTAAGTAACAGATTTGTATTCAAATACTATAAATAATGAATTTTGAAAATTATAATTGTGTTATAATAATTATTTTTTACTAATCAGTTGGATTTATATATTAGTAATTTTAGATATATTAAGTTAGATTCTATTTGAAATTGGAAGCTTAGAGTATTTATGCAAAGTATAATATTATATATATATAGAGAAATGTTAAAACTAATATTGTATAAGATTTTAATACAAATCAATAATAAGACCACTAAGTATAAAAAACTAAAAAACTGTAAAAATAGAAACCTATTTAGAAATTTTAAGTAAAAAGGTAATATAAACTTTTAATAATATTGTTAAATTAGAGAATAATGATCCTAATATAATGGTTAGGTTATCATCCTCTAAGTGGCAAGTCTAAGATTCAAATTCCACCTACAATAAAATTTGAAAATTAATCTGTATTATGACAAACTGTCTCTTGATGATTAGTTAGATTTGTGTATCTGTAACCTTAAGTTGCATTATCTCAAATAGGAGCTCAGAGCATCTATGCCAAGTGTAATATTACATGTACATAGAAGAATGTTAATAACTGATGTTATATAAAACTTTGGTACAAACCTATAATAAGACCACTGGGTACAGTAAACTAAGGAACTGAAGAGTCAGAAGCCTACTTGAAAATTCTTGAGTAAAGAGATCATATAAATTTTTGATGATATAATCAGACTGATAGAAACTTATAAAACACCTCTAAAGGGATAAATGAATAAACTGGATATCAAGATGTATAGAGGAGCATATGACCAACCAAGCTGCCAGAATTGCTAAAGAAAAAAGATAAATAAGTATATATACCAAGCTATCTGGATTGAAAGTTGAGGGAGTTCTGTTAGTTCTAAGTAGCAGTTAGTAAAGAATGATGAAGAAAATATCATAATGATAAGTACTGGGGTTTTAGTGAACTTTACAAGAGTAGAATAGTATAACATAGCAGTTAAATAAGTAATCTCAGTAACTGCAAGTATTAGGTAACTATAGCATGTTGTATAAAATTAGATCAGTTGTATGTAGAACATGAAAGGTTCTAGTAAGTTTTCTGTCAAAGATAAACTAGTTCTAAAGGTCTCGAAAGCATTAAGTACTTTGGATAGGTGTAATCCAAAAGATGTCCTCATGATCATAAGTTAGATTATATAACAAAGGATTTAAATAGGCAAGACCCATAGTTGGCTTGCAGATATGACATCTAGTATAGAACCTATATAGTAATATATAAACAGACTACTTAAATTAGGCACCAAAGGTGCATATGTGGCTAGTTGTAACCTCTTATATATGGAAGCCTCTAGAGACATTCATGTCTAAATACTTGAATAAAAAAATTGATCTCCAAAGGCAGAGACTTTAATGTTAAAAAAAAAAAAAATAATATTGTTAAATTGATAGAAGTCTATAAAACATCTTTAAAATAATAGATAAATAAATTGGATAACAGAACTAGGCTGTCAGAATTACTAAAAAAAAAATATATAAGTATATTATACTAGGCTATCTGAATTGCAAATCTGAAGAGTTCTGTCAGTTCTGTATAACAATTTATAAAAAATAATAAAGAAAACATTAAAAATATAAGTACTTGAGTTTGAATAAACTTTACAAAAATATAGTAGTTTAATAGTTAGTCTTGACTGTAGGTGTTGGTCTAGACTAAAATAGTACCAAATCAACTGCAAGTATAAAATACAGAAGACTTCAATAAGTTTAATACAAAGTCAAAAATTTCTTATATGAGTAAACTGCTTTAAAGACTTTATAACTATGATATATTTGTACAGATATTGATTAGAATAGTTGTTAAAGTAAATAAGTAATAAATACAAAAACTAAAGTGTTTAAATAAAGAATCTATAGGTAGGTTCTAGATATAATAGCTAGTATAAAACCTTTAAGTTGACTAAAATTGTATGAATAATAGTTGTGCACTCTTTTTATTGTTGTCTTTGTAGTTGTTATACAAACATTTATTAGCTAAAACATACTATTAATAAAATTCTAGATTACAAGTACTTATCTTAACATTAAAAAAAAATTTTAACTTATTTTGTATTACCAAAAATTCCAAGTACTTAATGTTCTTTAAAATAGTAAAGCAATCAGTAATTAAATTTTTCTATATTGAATAAAATATTTATGTATTTCAGTTACATTTACAACTAGTTAATAATGCAAAAAATATTATGACTGCCAAATATACTTGTTTAAATGAATGTATGTTATTTTTTAAAAGAAATGTAAGTTGCACTGGTAGAATGTTTTCTTAAAATTAAAGCATTTATTTTCTCAAAAATAATATTATTATAAATTTTAAATTATATAGTACTATTGCTAAAATGTATATATTTTAATTATATTGAATCTTTTTATAATAATTCATATAATAAAAATTTGTTATTTAATGCTTTACTATGATTTATATATTGAAATTATAATAACAGAAAAAAAGTTCACTATTATTTGCTATATGATGTGTTTGTTATTTGCTATATGATGCATTTTTTATTCGATATGTGGTGTTTGTTATTCGCCATGTGGTGTGTTTGTTATTCGCTATGTGGTATGCTAGTTAAAAAAGGTATAAAGTCAACTATATTCTAATTCAACGGATTTGGATAATTTATTCACTGGATCCAAACACTATCCCAGTGGGGTTTCTCACTGAAACCACTAGAACTCTTAGAACTCTGGGTTCCAGAATTTCATGACAAAACGTACGTACATACGTACGCAAATTTATCATCACGTGACTAACACCAAACTTCTTTAAAGTTCGTTTATGTTAGGACTAGTGCCTATCATAGAGTAGATCTTAAACAATTATGTTGTAAATCGCTTAAAACTTTTGTTAAAGCGCGGAAGGGTTTCTTATTTTGAAAAATAATGATAGCGATGACAAAAAGAGTTTTGAAGAATTTCGTGATCGTACAATTCAATCTTCCGATTGCAGTCTATAACCCGTTTTTTTCGAATCCATTTTTCTAGAAGACATAACCGATTAAATTGGCAAGCATTGAACTAAAGCCGACTAGTTTTGTCGGAATTATGGCTTCAGGAAATAGCTTACGAGACTTGTGTTACTTTGCATTAACACCTCTTACTAACATTAATTCACATTTTGGTTTGTTAAATTATATTAAAAAAAGAAAAAACTTGGTTTGTTTAAATGAATGGTGTTAACAGTATAGTGTTTATCAGATCTAGTTTTCTTTATATTTGACATGAATATCAACATTTCAAATTGAATTATGATATACAAAAAGTGCTGTTGACTCTGGAATGCGCAAAAATAGTATTCGCTAACACTAATTCCAAATTCTTATAATAAATTAATTTTGATTTTCTACATTTTTTTTTTTTTTTTACCTTTAATTACATACTTTTCGTTAATTTTAAACAAAATTCTGTATTAATACACATTTTATGCAGTATGATTATTCTTGACCGAATAAAATATAAATTGAATGTGCCCCATTTTTTTAAAAAAAATATAATTATTTAGTAAAAGAATGATGATGGTGCTTTACGATAATTACAAAAAAGGCAATGTTAAGGGTATTTTATCTTGAAATGTTCATGTATATAGTAATCAAATTCTTGTTTTCATATTCGATTCCATTTTCCGTTTTGTTATTCGAATACGGATGGTTGGATATCCTATAATTTTAATTATTAACATCTCAGTCAAAAAAAAAATAAATAAATAAAATTGTAATTTGTTTAAGACTTACATATGACGATAGGTTTATTATCCAACAAATGTAAAATTGTGTTTCTTTCAGTGTCCGTAAGTTGTTTGTTATCCATTATAGCTTTACTTGCTACTTCCCAATCCTTTTGATTTTGACCTTTACCAGCAATGGACAACGCTTGTCGCACCGCGGTTGCCACTATATATGTCCGGTTTGCATCATCCGGCACTGTTTTTACAGCAATGTTTGTTTCTTTTGTTGACATTATTATAATAAAAAATAAAAAGTATATATAAACTTTTGAGAAACAATATGACGAGAAGGAAGTAAAGAAAAAGGCAAAACAGTACTTCTTATAATTAAAAAAGATCAACCAGCTATTACTTTCGACCGTAACGATTTGCATCCGTAGACCGAGAACGCATGAATCTAGACCCTTTGGATATACAAAATTGTAAATTTGTGCATCGATAAATTTGTGCCAATCTACAACAAAGAAGCACAAAATTAATAGTTGGGTTCTAGACCATATTGTTAACTTTATTCATTACACATACCGATACAAATAAAAGGGTTGGGAATTCGTTTTACCGGAATATTTAATGGTTAACATGTATGCCTTGATTCGTACAAACGTGAATGGAATTCCGATTACCCGTTAGATTTTTAATACAGTAAAGTTGTCAAACATGTTATTACCTTGAGATATTAAAAAGTTCGGTTCAATTTTAGTTATTCGAAACCTCCAAATTAAAATATCAATAATTAATGCATAAATTGTGTGGCCAGAAAGATTGTGTAGTGTAGAGGCAATAAATACTTATTTCTTGTATGTTTACGTATCAGTACTTATTATCAGTCACACGATTTGTCACATAGATCATGTGTGTAAAATTTTTAATTATGAGTCAAATGATTGACTCACCTAAATTTCATATGTAAAATTTGCTTTCTAGACTTATTTGACAATAAAAGAATTATTTGTTTAATTTCTGGGTATCATTTTATAAATTCTCTAGCATTCGAAGGTTCTTGTGAAATTTTAAGGGTGGCTATCTAGCGTTCGAAGGTTCTTCTTGTGAAATTTTAAGGGTGGATATAAATAAAATGCAAAAGAAACTTGGTCACGAAGTTGACCAATTTTTACCGTTTGTTTATATGTGATAATAAGCGATGTACATCATTTACCCAAAATAGGGGTCGGCTAAAGCGGAGTTAATTTAATATATGATCTACACATCGCATAAATTACATTATTGATATTCTATATAACTCCACTAACACTAACTGCATCAAAAAGGTAACTTATAAACTCATTCCGCTTTAGCCGACCACCAAAATAGACATCAAATTGGGCTGAGGAGTCTGGTTGTTTTGCCGGTGATCTTCTGATCATGCGTTACTTTAGTAAATAATTGTGATATTTTCAATTGTTGTTTGTGTAGCCATAGTTAGTAAATGGCCGTAGTTAAATATATCCGTATTCTACTAGTGTTTCAATGTGATAATTAAATTGTTGTTTTATTCATGGTAATACTATATTAAGTTCTAAGCATTGTACAGTTGGTGCTTTTTTAAATAGTTGAAATATTTGGGGGGTTTTTTTTTTTAAAAAAGATTCTAAAATACTTTATTTCATTGGCTTGCTTTAGTCATTTTCAAATTTGTAATAAGAATTTATTTTGATTATTGAGTTTATTTATTTGGTTTTGTAAAATTTTTTTAATTAGTATATTTCTATACAATAAATTCTAGTAGGTCTGAGCTATTAATTGATAAAGCATCTATTTTATTAGCTCTTATATATATATATATATTGGTCATCTTATTAAGCATGATATACCAACTTGATACATTTGAATTAAAATGTAATTACACAAAATTTTACATA